GTTAGACCTTCCACCCCCTCAGTCTGTTGTTCACTGACCGTTACTGTCGTTGTAATACTCCATGATGTCATTCAGGGTCTCCATAAAGATGTCTTCCCTGGCCTTCTGAAGTCGGCTGTCCTGCTCCCAATCCTCCATTCCTTCCACCTGTTTCCAGAGTCCTAGGGGCCGAGACCTCCTGTCTTTACTGTCGTACTCGAAGAAGGAAAGGTCATTGAGGAGGCCAAAGGCCTGAAACTTGGGGATGTCTCCAACAGTCTTGGACAGCCCCGTGTAGACATAGGTCAGAGAGTAAGGACCTGCAAAAGAAAAGACTGATGGTTGAGATCCATGCAAGTGTCCCACCTTGGGGCTGCAGAGGCCAGGAGGGAAGACCTGCCCGCTGGCCTCTTCCTTCCCAGCTCTTTCTCCTGCCATCAACCTCACACCACTGGAGACTCATGCTGTACTTTCATGCTGGAGATGTTATTTCACAGACCACTGTGTCTTCACTACATTGTTTCCTCTGCTTGACATATAAGATGATGTTCCTTGTGACTGAGTTTTGTCAAAGAAGAATGTGCAGAAGTGATGTCTTTCTTCTTGTCCAAGACCCTACCAGCTGGCTTGCACCCTCTGTTTCTCCTCCCTTGAGGTGACAACTTTGAGGGCCACAGGATAATATGAAAGAGTCCCAATATGCCTTTAGCCTGGATCCCTGAGTCACCTCATGGAGGAAAAGAACCTTGACCAATGTGCATGGAATCTGACATAAATAAGAAATTAACATTAGAAATGCTGGGCTCGGTGGCTCATGCCTGTAATCCCAGCACTTTGGGAGGCCAAGGCAGGCGGCTTACTTGAGATCAGGAGTTGGAGACCAGCCTGGACAACATAGTGAAACCGCATTTTACTAAAAATACAAAAATTAGCTGGGTGTGGTGGTGCATGCCTCTAATCCCAGTTGCCTGAGAGGCTGAGGCAGGAAAATCACCTGAAGCAGAGAGGCAGAGGTTGCAGCGAGCCAAGATTACGCCATTGCACTCCAGCCTGAATGACAGAGTGAGACTCCGTCTCAAGAAAAAAAAACACAAGTTAGCATTTCTAGTTTAACCTGACAAATACATATAGTTAGAAAGGATAGAAAGGAAAATTTACTAGAAAATTTAATAAATGGCCGGGCGCGGTGGCTCACGCCTGTAATCCCAGCACTTTGGGAGGCCGAGGCGGGTGGATCATGAGTTCAAGAGATCGAGACCATCCTGGTCAACATGGTGAAACCCTGTCTCTACTAAAACTACAAAAAATTAGCTGGGCATGGTGGCACGTGCCTGTAATCCCAGCTACTCAGGAGGCTGGGGCAGGAGAATTGCCTGAACCCAGGAGGCGGAGGTTGCAGTGAGCCGAGATAGCGCCATTGCACTCCAGCCTGGGTAACAAGAGCAAAACTCTGTCTCAAAA